TATGTAAAGTAAACAAGCCCCCCGCTGCATCCCTTATTCGATAGTTCCGAACTAGTTCTAAATTCGACAAATAAGATCTAGTTCGTTCTGCATCCCTTTTTCGTCACTTTAGATATAGATTTCTAGTGAAAAAAACTTAAAAATATTAGTTTTTGAAAAGTACCACTTTTCGCCGATTTTGGTCTGGTGGGGATCTAGTTCCATTTTGGCGATAAAGACCTAGTACGGAACTAGAAATTTGATTCACTAGCCCGCGGTTTCCCTACAGGGTTGCTGTGCGCTTGGACAGCTGGCAGACAACTTTTCTAAGCACGCATATACTTTTTCGTATTAGTAAAAACATTGTGAGTAAAAAATTGAAAACCAACAACAACAATCATATGTAAAATAAATAGAAATAAAAAGAAAAAATAAACAACAGCATGACCAATGCAAGCGGCTCCCTGATGAGCCGATGAACGCAGCATATCAGCCTTGGTGTAGCGCTGCAAGTGGCACGCATTGGTTGTGCGGAAAACGGAAACCGGAAAACGCCTGTGGCAGTAAAATTCAAATTAAAAGCAGCCCAATTGTCAGGGTGGCCGTGGAGATGAAGGTGGTGGTCGGAGAAATAACAAAGCTGCAGGCAAGTAGTAACGAGAAATGCAAATGCAGAGAAAATAATAAACAAATGAATGTTGGAAAAACGCAATAAATTGAAAATAGCACAAACTTTTAGAGACAGACACCCACCCACCCAAAATATGCGTGCAAGGCGTTAAAAAGAAGCACTGCAGCGCAGACTACAGGATTTATAGCGTGCGCACGCTTTCCTAACGCTGATAGTCGAAGTTTTATTATGCTTGATAAGCTTGTCTTGTAATTTTGTATGCATGCGCGCTGTAGAAGGGATGAGCCAACAGGCAGTTCGCCAGTTTTGCATACAAAATGAACCGAGGGTATTGTTGGCAGGGCATTAGCGCGCCGAGCGCTTTGAATAGTAGCTTTCAAAGGCAGCAAATGTGACCAAAAAAAGGGCAAATGTAAATGCAGCACAACGCAATGCGCCGCACATTTGCATATGCAAAGCAACAGAGGTGGCAAAGCAGCTACGTGACGGCAGCGAGCCAACTAGAAAGGCGCTGGCTTGTAAGGAAATGCGCGAGCGCCCAACCACCACCGCCACCATCACCATCACTATCACAGACGTCGCATAAAAACAAACGGCATTCAATTTTAGAACGCAGCGCTGCCAGCCTCTATTTCCTGCCAGCGGTCCATCAGTCGTGTCACAGGCTACTGCCACACGTTTCTGCTGCGACTGACGCTGCTGCTGTTGCTGCTGCCATTCATTTGTCAAATTGTAAAATTTTCTAAAGTTTCAAGCTGCGTTCGCCTTGCTGTCTTGTTAGCTGACTGGCTGACGCGTCAAACTTCGGGTCGTGCCAGTTGGCAGCGTAGCGCTTGGCCCTAACAGTTGCGTCGCCTATCTGCACTGTCTGCTTGCCCGACTGCTCGACTGCCTGCTCGCCTTGCTGTCGCTGTTGCCCAACGCTACGCCTGCTACATTTACTGTGCGCCTGGTGGAAATTGTAATTTGAATAATTTCTCTTCGGTTTGTGTTGCGTTGGGTATGCAAAAAACATGAGCTTATAAATAAATTAGCGAATGGGTTGTCTGAATGGCAGGCTGCTGCGGTTGGTTCTTGCGGTGGCGTTGGCGCGTGGTGGCAAAAGTTTTGGCTTTCCTTTTTTTATGCTCTGAATAATTTAGTTTAAGTAAACGGAGTAAAAAGAAAAGGAGCAGTAGAGAACTGTTGACTTTTCGAACTTAATATTTCTTGAGTGCCACTGTAGAGTTTATGGAGGAGATGAGTTACAAAGTTAAATGTGGAGCTAAAACTTTGACAATGAACAAAGGAAGTTCTGAACTCGCCTCTCTTTCTACTTCAAAGAAACCCACAAAGGGTAGCTGCAGGCTGTGAGCTCAGACAGTATACCCTGCTACTCAAACCCAACCGAAGAGAAATACTTAGATTAGAGAAGTTAATACGTTAAGGTCTCGGAGGTAGACTTGCAAGTGTGAAAGTACTGGTCCCGAAATCATCGTGAAAAGCTGATATATTTCGCCAAGGAACTCATGTTATTGACAACATATGGTACGGCAAAGTGAAAAACTTTTTGCTGGCAAGCTGATTTAAAATGAGACGAAGCATCTGTTTTTGTACCCTTCTCAGCACCCTTCATACACCGAAGTATTTGTAGTTCTGGACATAGATCATGAAAACATCGACCGACCACAGGTTCTCTGACTAGGAAGATGAAGACAATGACACTTGACGATAGGCGAAATGAGTACAGCTCCTACAACATGAGCTCACCGATAACCACAAGAATAACCACAGAAAAACACGCAACAACCCAAGGTCTAACTGTAGGACTTCTGAGAAGTCTTGATCGAGATACCACCATCAGCTTCATAAACTCTCTTCCCTTGACTATACCGAGCATCATTTCGGGAGGCTCTGTGCTCTGGAAGAAAGTTTTAAATTTTTGTTAGAGTATTTGAACAGAATTGTCGAGGATTTTTACGAAATTTTTTCGGGAGTCTTCGCTTTAAATATTAACTATGGATGTTTAGAGGATTTTGTGAAGTTTTGTTTCAAATATTTTTGTGCTTTTTTTTGCTTTTTTTCTTTTATGTATTATTTTGGGAATTTTCCGATTTTTTAAAATAGTATATTATTTTTTACTGAAGATAAAAATATAGCATAATATTGCTTTTTGTATTTATGTATGTAAATATATTATTTTTATATTTCTATAACTTTTTTTGTTTATTTTATCTTTTTTATTTCTATCAATTTTTTATTTTTTTAGTTTTTTATGTTTTCATTGCGTATTTAATCTATTATTTTTTATTTTTTTTTATTTTAAGGTTTTTTTTTCTTTAATGAGTAATTTTGTATGATGCCTTTTTAGTCATTTACTGCCGGTTTCACTAGCAATTTAATTAAATTGATTTTTCTTTTCTGTCACTTTTCTTATTAAATTCATAAAAAAATAAACAATTTTTAACTTAAATAGCATTCGTGAAACTGGCCTTCTAAAATCTTTATTTTTTTGCATTTTTTAGAGTTTGTTCAAATTGATTATATCAAGTCATTTGTCACTTGGACTTTTTAGTTACCTTTTTTTATTTTATTGATTTTTTATTGTAATTTCCCAAATTTTATTTTATGTTTTAATTGCTAAGAAGTGTATTGTCTTTATAATTGTCTGGACGCCTACTTTATAGAACTATTAGACAACTAATACATACATAATCTCAATTGTCTTGTCTTAAATTATCTTATGTAAACGCAGCGTAATTTAAGCTCTTATTTTCTGCAAACCTATCCCACAGTGCATTCCTTTCCGGATCGATGCTAATTCAAACTAGTTTTCGTTTTCACACCAAATTTCAATCAACGAAGCGGAAATATATAACAACCCCCTTCGGCATAAACAAAAGCGCTTTTCCAGCCAGTGAGCGCTTTTTTTCCAATTATAAAAAANTTTGGACTTTTTAGTTACCTTTTTTTATTTTATTGATTTTTTATTGTAATTTCCCAAATTTTATTTTATTTTTTAATTGCTAAGAAGTGTATTGTCTTTATAATTGTCTGGACGCCTACTTTATAGAACTATTAGACAACTAATACATAATCTCAATTGGCTTGTCTTAAATTATCTTATGTAAACGCAGCGTAATTTAAGCTCTTATTTTCTGCAAACCTATCCCACAGTGCATTCCTTTCCGGATCGATGCTAATTCAAACTAGTTTTCGTTTTCACACCAAATTTCAATCAACGAAGCGGAAATATATAACAACCCCCTTCGGCATAAACAAAAGCGCTTTTCCAGCCAGTGAGCGCTTTTTTTCCAATTATAAAAAATCTGCTCAACTACTCAGTAGGATACAAAATAAAGCCACCAGGGAAAGCATCAACTAAAAAGTTTAATATAATTATATGCAGCGGCGACACTGCGCATGCGTAGCACGACAAGCTTGGAAGGGTTGTAAATCGCAGAGGTGAACGAGGCGACCGACACAGGTTCNACTCAACTACTCAGTAGGATACAAAATAAAGCCACCAGGGAATGCATCAACTAAAAAGTTTAATATAATTGGAAAAAAAAGTCAAACACGTGCAGCGGCGACACTGGGCATGCGTAGCACGACAAGCTTGGAAGGGTTGTAAATCGCAGAGGTGAACGAGGCGACCGACACAGGTTCTTTGTGAAAAATCGAATAATTGAAAAACTGAACTGAGATTTGGTAAATCCGCAGGGATTTGGGGTTGATTTTTATGATGGCTTTTATGGTGTTGCGCTTTGATGCGCCTGTGGCAGACTTGCGACATTACAAAAAAAAAAGAAAGAAAAGAAAACTCGTTCGGATGCACTAAAGATATTAGAATAAAGTGTTTAATATTTAAATTAAATGATATGCTATGAATGGCTGAATGCTGATGTGTTGTCAAAGCCAATGGCTATGAATGACAGTTACGAGGAAACCCTTTTCCATATGATTGTTTTTATGCAAGTAACATACATACATACATCAATTCAAATGGGAAAACTGCAAGCTATTGTTGGAAATAAAAAGCATAGTTGAGAAAGGACTAGTGGACACGTGCAAGGCCAAGCAATGGGCTACATACAGTCAGAAACTTATTTAAGGGCGCATATACATACATATGTACGTATTCTGCTGAACAGTGAAGCGTAATTAAATAAAATATCAAATGTAATAATGCATAAGCGCCTTATAAGTAATAAGTTAAGCCAACTATTGCGTAAATATTTAATAAATCGAGTATTACCTTTTCAAAATATTTTAATAGCGTTTATTTTCATGTTCGTATATGTATGTTTACCCATAGCTTACAGTGTTTTATTGCACTGTCATAGTTCTTATATTCTATTCATCAACGCTATTGTAAGGGAATTAAATAATTACATTGCAAAGTTAAATATAATGGCATTATTTTACACATATTTTTATTTTAAATTTATGATAGCGAAATATATACTAGGAGTATTCATCTAAACGCATAAATGCCTCGTAACCGGGTAAAACTCATCAACTTACTTAATTTTGTATGGAAAGCCATTTTGTTTACGAGGTTTACGGGTTTACGAGGCATTTGAGCGTTTAGATGAATACCTATATGTACTAATTTTCCATAAAAGAAACATTCATAAATCAACAATTTACAAGTAGGTAAATAAATTTTCGTTCGTATAAAACATATGTATGTATTTTAATAGGTAACGCGCTCAGCAGCGTTTTTCATTGGTCCATTAGTTTATCGCGTATCATTCACTGGTTCTATATTACCCACAACTTGTGTCGGATGTACGACTTGTTTAACAGCACGCGCAGCAGCGTTAGTTACAGCCTCCAAGGCAGCAGGAGCTGGCGCGTATGCCACCGAATTGCTGGGTACATGAAAGAAGTACAACATAAAACCTGCAGCCAAAAGGAAGTGAGCACCAAGGATGCCGATTATTAGGAATAAGGATAACTTGGAGTTACGAAGCGCCGGTGTAAGTACGATAATTAATACTGAACCAGATAGTAAAGCGGCGGTAATGACGAGTAGCCATTGTAGCAAGCTAATCTGTAGCGCGAATAATTTTACATAATTACATTTTAAATAGTTACATACTTATAGCGAGGACCCACCTGTATAACCCACAACACAGAGACGGGAATGTAGATAAATAGAGAATAGCCATAGACGCACATTAACGATAATAATGAGGGCGAGTAGCTGGCCTGATGGTGCGGTAATTAGACAAATTTATAAAGTCTTAATTTGAGTATGCTTGCAATCATTTCTAAACGGATAAACTTACACTTTCAGTTTCCACATCATCAGTGACGGGTTTGAGGCTGTACTTAAAGACCGCCCACAACGCAATGGGGAACAGATTGGCATAGATGAAAATACAAGTGGCAGCATAGGAAACTAAATGGAAATTATAGCGCCAGTGGTAGTTATCATTGGCATGCTGCAGATAGCTAGCTATGTTGCCACTTATAGCAATTGAGAAAATCTACAGACACAATAATTCAATAAGGTACATACCATAAAAAGTCAAGTGTATCTTAAAGCACTTACCAGCGTTACTGTAGTCCAGAATGGCCCATACAGGTCTGGATTTTGTCCAATATTAGAGCGTAAGTAATTTCCGCTAGCCCGCTTGGGTATCATCGAATTAGCTATGCGTTCCAATACTACAAACGTGTCAACATTGAAGAACTGTTGATAGTATTCCAAAGTGAGAAATGACACCTTGTTGCTGGCACCAGCATCAGCACCGCCATCAGCGCCTCCACCAGCACCACCAGCCGCGCCCGCATTCATGTTGCCTCCGCTAACTGAACCACCACTACCGCCCATTATGCCTGCGGAGTTGCTCATATCATAGATTAAATCGTTGAGTGCATCATTGCCGCCGCGACTTGCGCTCGTCGCAGAACCCATTGAATGGGTGGGCGAGTTGACATTTATTTGTGCTGGCGGACTACTCATGTTGGGTGGACTATTGTAGTCGCGAAATTGTAGTAGATCGTCTGCGCCACTTGATTGCATTTTAAATGCCTATAAAACAATTGAAAATTTGATAAATTGCGGAACCTCAAATATCTGTTCACGACACGTAAACGCCAAACAGAGAACTTTGTTGTTTTGACGTTGACAAACATATGATTTAGCGTTGCCAACTGCTGGTGAAGTATTCGTTAAAAGCGTAGGGTTGCATGACAAGCAAAAAAAAAATATTTAGTAAATAATATAAAAATAGATAATTTGAAGAATTCTAAAAAAAAGATAATTTCATTATGTTATATTATTGTAAAAATGTTCAATGCTGTTTGCTGCTGAATAAATGGAGAGCCAAAAAAAAATTGGTATCGATAAGAATCGACTAAACGTGGGGCAATACTAGCAACCAGCGTTGGCAAAGCTAAAAACCGGAAATGAAATTAAGGAAATCAAGTACCGTAGTTATGTAGTTCCGCTCGTAAATAAGCAAACAGCCATGGGATAGCACCTCAAAAATATTAGTGATTATATTGATTAATTGTGAGGAAGGCTCTGTTTCAGCAAACATAGATGAGCCCAGCAGCAGCGGAAAGGTCAACCTTATAGCTTTCACTTGCTTTTATTTATATATGTATGTATGTATGTACATACACATGTGTTTATTCATTATTACTTTATAAAGGAATTATACAAATGTATGTATGTACATATGTAGTTACTTTTTAGATATACAAAATGTACACTCAGCCTTTCCTCGCTCTAGGTTCAAACATCAAATTAAACCCTTGTAGAGACTTCAGCACCATTTGCGCCTGCAGCACCAATTCTTCCTGTGGCTTGTGCAGTTGCACATCGAATGTGCGTAAAATCTGTACGGTTAATATTTTCATTATCAGCAATGCATACTTTCGTCCTATACAAATGTGTGGTCCTCCTGAAAATGGTACATGAACATAAGGTGGCACTTGTTCGTTTTGTTCGCGCCCAAAGCGCATGGGTCGAAACTCTTCCGGCGCATGAAAGTAACGCTCATCATGCGCCAGTCCATATATATTAATCCAGAGTGTTACGCCAGCACAGTAGTGACGGCCACCGATAACAGTTTCCGTAGTGGTTTGACGGCCTGTAAGTGGCACAGTGGTGTAGTAACGGAGCACCTCTTTGAGAAAAAGATCCAAATACTCCAGACGAATTAGGGACTCAGCCGTTAATTCAGCATCTTCCAAAGAGTGTTCTCGTATTTCCGCTAAGAGTTTTTGCTGTTCCGCCGGATATTTACCAAGGCTGTATAGCACAAAACACATTGCCGCTGTGGTCGTGTCAACACCCTAATTATAAAGTAAAAGTTATTTAGCGATTTTTTTTACTTTATCGGCGCCAAATACTTACTGCAAAGACAAACGTGTTCACTTCATCGCATATTTCGCCGCGAGTTAACTTTCGTCCATCAATTTCAGTCATTAGTAACGTGTCTAACAATGTGCGACGCGGCTTGCGTATGCCCGCCTCCTCTGGGTGTGAGACCAGTAATGATTCAACCTGCGATGCCAGTTTCCCTTGTTTTTTCAGTGCATCGGTGCGCTCGTCTACCACCGCAGCCATTAGCTCGTGTATAACTGCGAGTGATGCGCACAATTCGCGATACATTCGCGTGTGTTGAAATATGAAGTCAAGAGCTAGCAGTGGATTCGTCATGCGTTTGAAGAGAAGTTCACTGGTTCTAAAGCATTTCATAGACAGTTTAGAAAATTATGTAAATAACTTGGATTCTGAAGTCTTATACACACTTATGAAAGGCGTGCGTATAGCGGTTGTCTGGATCCATTAGTGCGTTCAGTTGCTTGCCCATTGAGGTTTCTAGATTTTTTTTTGCAGTTATTAAAAGTTCTCAAAATTGGATTTTAAGTAAGAAACCTATTATAGCATCCAATATGCAGGCAAAAAGACTATCGCTGACTTCAATCGGCTGGCCATTAGTGGCGCGTAATTTTTCGACTAACTCGTCTCCATGCAGCGCTATTGTTGGTGTGAAAGTGCTTAGTATTTGTGGATGGAAGGCCGGATTTAGAGCACGGCGATGAGTTTCCCAGTGTTTACCTGATAAGGAGGAATAAAAACAAAATAGATTAAAAATAATGTTTATATTGCTGCTTCAGCTATCCTCAGCAACATTTTTTTATAAAATTTGCGCTTTTGAAATTCTCTACATAGGCCTAGACTTTTAAACCATAATTATAAAATTGCTTGCGTAATCTTAGTATCTTACCATGACTTATCAGCAGTCCATTGCCTATCAAGACGCTTAGTTGTTGGAATGCCGCTGGTCTTGTTAGCGTCGGGTCATTCAAAACTTCACGCGTTTCTTCTGGACTATGCAAAAAGACCCACAGCTCAGGCCCGAGCCATAAACGATACGTTTCTCCAAAACGAGCACGAAATTCGGCGACACTTTGAAATAAAGCTGCGGCGAGGTAAATAAGGCATGAGGTAAAACACGTTTATTGAAATTACAAATTATTACTTGTTTCAGGAACTTGAAATTTTGCAACACACTAAGAAGTTTAAGATTTAATATATTCAAGAAATCTTAGGAAAGTTACAGGATTTTTGAAACAATAAGTCCGAAACAGCAAAGGTATGTATATGAGCGCCGAAACCGATTAATCCAAAGATTATGAATAAATTTCAACTTCCCCTCGACATATAATGTGTATGGCAATATTCAGAAGTGGAATAAATTTATAAGCGTATTTTAAAAAGAAAACTTAAATAACCACAAAAATTATAGCAAGACCCTGGCCCGGCCCCTGACAATAAAAAAAGGTCCGTTCTGAGGCGTTTGAAGGCATTTATATATTTTTTGTTTGTTTATTTATCTAATACACTCACATTCCGGCTTCAATTTATTTAACANAACCCTGGTCCGGCCCCTGACAATAAAAAAATGTCCGTTCTGAGGCGTTTGAAGGCATTTATATATAATTTTTTTTTTGTTTATTTATCTAATACACTCACATTCCGGCTTCAATTTATTTAACATTTGTACATTGCCGATCACTGGCAAGGCGCGTGGCCCAGGTATTCGACTACCGACAACATAAACTTTCCATTTCGCATGAATGAAGTAGCAGATAGCACAAGTTAAAAATAAAAATAGTACCAGCGACATGCCTACTATTCGTTAGTATAATAGGTCAGTACGATTTTTAAATTTATTGCATTATGTTGAATATTTTCAAAGCGATTTATCTCTGTTATAAAACTACTTTAGCTTCTTTTTATTTTTTTAATCAAAATTAACAGTAGTTATTTTTTTTTACTTTTTCGAGCAAATTCAACCGGTTTCGTTTCAAATCAGTATTTGCGTGCGCTCAATACGCTTAGTTCGGTCAGACTAACTGCTTGGGGATTCTTATACCTGCGATTACTCAATCGATACAAAAACCGACACACATGCAAAATATTTTTCAGACCGCTAGTCGGCATTGATCAGCAATAAAGCTGTGGTATTGATTAAGAACAATTAAAGTCAGTAGTACGTCACTCACAAGCTAACTAGAAAGGGCTATGGGCCAAGCTGCTCATCCAATGCGTGTACCTCTAGTTGGTTTCTAATAATTGAAATTGAAAGTTTACCACACGAACAGCAGTACAGAAGGGTCCGCCATAACGCCCCTGAACTTCACTGACTGTGTGCAGAGCAATTAAATGCGATTGCAAACTNCAATTAACAGTAGTTATTTTTTTCTACATTTTTTTTTTACTTTTTCGTGCAAAGTCAATCGGTTTCGTTTCAAATCAGTATTTGCGTGCGCTCAATACGCTGAGTTCGGTCAGACTAACTGCTTGTGGATTCTTATACCTGCGATTACTCAATCGATACAAAAACCGACACACATGCAAAAATATTTTTCAGACCGCTAGTCGGCATTGATCAGCAATAAAGCTGTGGTATTGATTAAGAACAATTAAAATCAGTAGTACGTCACTCACAAGCTAGCTAGAAAGGGCTCCGGGCCAAGCTGCTCATCCAATGCGTGTACCTCTAGTTGGTTTCTAATAATTGAGATTGAAAGTTTACCACACGAACGGCAGTACAGCAGGGTCCGCCATAACGTCCCTGAACTTCACTGACTGTGTGCAGAGCAATTAAATGCGATTGCAAACTACAATTGAAATGAACTCCTTAATCAATTGATATTTATTTATAGCCATTGAAGCTTAATCTCTTGCAATGCCTATGGCCGCATATAAAAAAGAAATCGGCAACCGCATAATTAATCTAATCAGCATTAATAGCAGTAAAAAAAAATATGTACATAAAACTGACCCCTGATACGTTTTACATACAGAAAAAAAAANTGAAGCTTAATCTCTTGCAATGCCTATGGCTGCATATAAAAAAGAAATCGGCAACCGCATAATTAATCTAATCAGCATTAAAGCAGTAAAAAAAATATGTACATAAAACTGACCCCTGATACGTTTTACATACAGAAAAAAAAACTTAAAAAAAAATATTAGTAAATTTCTATTCCACTGGTGTTGCATTTTCCTTAAATCATTTATTTTTTTTTTCATTTTTTTCGACAAAATATCCAGAAATTATTTTCATTTATATATTATGTTTGGCTCTTCTTTTTTATTTTTCATAACATTACATATTCAATTAATTTACACATAACCACTTTTTAAACTTCTTATTTTTATATTTATTGTATTCTTCATACACATATCTAAAGCAAGTACATACAGGGTACTAACTAGAGCACATTTAAAGCGTACAAATAAATGCTACAGTTATCCGCTGCCATTTGTCATGGCAACAGCTGGGCAACGAGGGAAATTTTTGAAATTTCCTTTCGCACGTACAACATTTCGATTTAAAAAATTTTCTGTGCCAAAAAAATATGCAAACATTCTTATGTTTGTTGTCAGCTGTAAGCTTTTTAGTTGTCAAATTTTCAGTTGTCATTTGTCTGGTGAACATATTTTTTGTCGAAATTTCGAATTCAATTCTTTAACAATGTAAGTTTGAGCTGTCAACTGTCATTCGTCAGCTCGCCAGTCACTTGTCAGATCTAATCTTTATAGCAGCTAGTAGTCTTTTAACCATAATGAGCCTTTCTCTGTCTGAGAAGCTTTTTCCAGTTAATTTGCTTTTAAACAATCGGGAATGTTCTGAAAATCGTACGAATTGAGCTTGCAAAATATTTGTTTAATTTTTAATGAAATTAACAACATTTCAAATGGAAACTGCTGAAGACTTATTATGTCATCTTCATTGATTTAGTACGAAATTGCTGCCTGTTTGTTAAGAAATTTTCAAAAAAGATTTTGTAAATCGTTCCGGTCCGATTGTAAATCGTAGGGGTTTCAGAACATGCCCCAACAATTTGCTTTCTCACTTTTTTGTTCCCAATCATTTATACCACTTTCACAAAAAAAACACTCATAAAATTTAACCCCCATTGTTTGCTCTCCAAATTTGATATTTCACTGTCGTTTTTTTTTCAAATGTAACTGAACTTTTTTACCTTAGCTCCTCATTAATTTCACTCCCTATTTCATTTTTTTTTAACTACTTGGTTTGGTTATAAATTTGTTTTATTATCTCATTATTATTTTTAGGTATTGTGTGTATGTATATATTTTTTAACTACTCTTTAATCTTTAATCTTCCTTGCTATGCAAATAATTGTGGTTTTTTTCTCACTATCAATAAGAATAATTCTTATATCTGCTCGTTGGTTTACGTTCACAATAAATACGCTTTTTGATAATTTAAAGTTTTTTCTACTTCAATATTTAACATTTTCTCACATACATCAATTATGTTTTTATTTAAATACTTTTGCTTTACTAATTTCTTGCAATCATCTTGAATTCAAAATATTCATTTCGCTGCATTTTTTCTCGTATATGTATTTTTATTTTATTTGCTTTTGTTTCAGAAACTGCATCATTTTTTAACATTCATCCCCTTATTTTTGGCTTTCCATTTGCTGCTTTATTTTACTATCTTTCTATCCGCACACACGTTTCTCTCGCTGTCTGAAATTTCTTAAGCTCTACACTTGCAAAAAAAAAATTGTTTATCCTAACTGCTCTTTTTACTACACTTTTAAAGTTCTCCTGTGCAGTTATTTTTCGCTACTTTCCCTTTTTACCTTTTTACTGAGTTTTTTGGACTTTTTACTTTTACATTTTTCACAGTGTATGCTGAGTAATAGCGTAATCACGTTTTGGTGTTGAGAAAAAAACAACGAAAAGTGTAGCTGAAAATAAATGGCAACTTAAAAGCTCAGTTAGTCTAGACTTAGCTTAACTTACCTTAAGAAATAGTGAAAGATTACTCAATACGTCAACTTAAGCCAGAAGCAAACATATTTTGTTTTTGTATTTTCTTTTGCAGCTGGTCGACTATTCGCCGCTTATAATGCCACATAAAAAAAAAATCATGCAACAAAAAATTTTAGCGTTCACTTATTTTAAAGAAATACAAAAACGAAAATCTGGCAAGCCTGATTCTCTCACCGCTCTCAATTTCCGTAAGGCCGTAACTTAAGAATGTAAAACTTACAGTTTGTTAAGTTTCTTACGGTAAGTTAAGTATTAACTAACCGCCAACACGGTTTCTCATACAACAGGTTGGGCAAAATATTAAATTAAGCTATGTTTCGAAAATGAAGTCTAGACTAGCTGGGCTTTAAAGATTCAAGTTTATAGAGAATAATCAGGCAGGTTCTGCAATTTACTTCCACGTGAATTTCAATCCCATTCAATTTGAATTCAATGTGGCTTTGGTTGAAATCCTCTCGGAAGTGAGTTACAGAACCTGCCTGAATAAGCAATATAAAAATTTTTATAAATAAATTAAGTTTTAATTGTTTGTTAAAAAAATATTGCCATATACATGTTGCTAGCAAAATTTTTTGCTCAAAAATATCTGTACTCTTTGCTTCCGATTACAGTGCCGTGTGGGTTTTAATAAAAGTAATTTAATAAACGGTAAATGTTTGCTGGAACAAGTTTTGCTGCTTAAAAAGTGTGAGGTATTGATTTGCTCCCGTTCGGGTGTCAAGTTTTGATTTCTATTAAAAAAATATATAAAAAATGTTGCTAGACACACGCTGCTACCAACGTATTTGCTCAGATGTCTGGTATTGATTTCTATTAAAAACAAAATAAATAAAGGGGAAAATGTCGCTAAACACATGTTGCTAGCAACATTTTTGCACAAAATGTTTCTACATCAGTTCAGGTGTCAAGTATTGATTACTGTTAAAAAATATATGAAAAAAGGAAATGTTGCTGAACACATGCTGCTAGCAACATTTTTGCTCAAAATGTCTTTACTACCGTTCAGGTTTCAATTATTAAAAAAAAATAAAAAAGGACACATTTTACATGCTTCCTGATCATCGATTCTTGGTATTCAACTGCAGTATCGAAACCAAGGCACATTTGTGTGTCTCATTTAATAGCTGGGCAGCAATTTCATCAGCAACATGTTGCTTGAAATATTATTTATTGAAATATTCGCGTATTTAATAGCCACATTTACTATTTTTGAGTCGGAAAATTCCAAAAGAAAAATGCCTAGAGGCCGAAGTTTTGGCTCTGCACATACATATGCATTTCGTATCGCAAAGTATTTTGGTAAACAAATTAAATAAA